TAAAAAACATGAATATTGAAGAGCACAAAGTATTAATAAAAAATAATCTCAAGTATATATGCAATTCCCTAAATATCAGGCATTTTGAGAAGAATATTAATAAGTACCATCACATTCTAGGATAGAATATAAATTCCTAATTTATCTACAGTCATAAAAAGCTTAAATTTAAAGAGGCCTGCATTTAGGACAAAACTTACAAAAAAGATATCTGTCCTTGAAAACAACACATTCAATTAATGTTAGGTGCAGAGCAAAGTATAATACAATTTCATAGCACTGGGAGATCAAGTAGATACGAAATATTTCAATAAAACTTCTAACCACGTAAGGTGACCCAAGACATTTCCTAATATCCATTATCAGGATGTTTTAGAATGTGTGTCTATGCTGCAGCATCAGCAAGAGAATATATTACATAAATAATATATTATATAAATATATAAAGTGTACTTTTTGATATAACACAAGTAATCTATAAATTACGAAAATAAAATTTCTCACAAATTGTTTATCAGGATTAAATTTTTTCTTCACTATGCTACATTATATGCATAAATATACATCATCATCATTATTATCCTTTTTTTTAAACTCCCATAAGCACTGGGTCATAATTTTAAAATATTAGGTACAGGCTTTCGGGTTTTCAGAAAAGAAAACAATAGACATGATTTATAAAATTCATTTCTGGTTAAGACTTCAGAAAACACAAACCCAACTGCTTTTGTGATTCAAAATTTTCAGTTACATTTGATATATTCGAATAAAGAGTTCAGGGCATAAACTGCCGAGAAAAACTTTAAAAAGGACCTAATTTTCTAATTTATCAAACATCAATAAATTCTATGTAGTTTAATATAAGTCCAAAGCTATAGTATGTGCTGCCTTACAGTTACACTGTAAGTTATATATAAACCTCGGTATTAAAGTTTATGTTTAAAAGAATAGTTCCACTTGGTTAAATTTAAGACCACATTACATAATTGAAGAAAGCCAATTAAGACTCCATTTTCGAGGTCTTTGTGGCTCCCAGCCCCCATTCCCCTCACCACTTCCTCACGCTGTTTTTTTTTTTAATTGGGTTACAATCAGATCTTCTTGAGAAGACAAGATTTAGTTATAAGCCAATACGGGGTGAGGGATTATATTTTGTAAGGTTTAATCTTAAAAGAACAATCTTAATGTTACTTCACTGTAACTCCTATGCATCTATAACTAAAGATCTGCACAGTTAGTACAGAATAAGTATCTCTTATCTGAAAGGACTGGTACCAGAAACGTTTCAGATTTTTCTTTTCAGATTTTGGAATATTTGCATATACATAATAAGATATCTTGGGGATGGAAACTAAGCCCAAAGATTAAACTCATTTGTTTCATACATACCTTATACATGTAGCTTAAAGATAATTTTCTACAATATTTTCAATAATTTTGTATGTGAACCAGTTTCATGATGTAGAATTTTGACATTCAAAGTCTCATTATGGTGGTGTGTCTCGTTGACATTCAAAAAGTCTCAGACTGACTATCTATCTATACCTTCAGATTAAGGATAATTAATTCTAAGTGCAATCAGATTGCTAGACTCTAACTTTCTAAGAATGAAAAAGCTTTAAAGAGACAGACCCTGAAAGGCAATTCCTGCTGGATGAGCAGACTAAACAAAGGTAAAAATGAGGCTCAGCATCTCTAAATAACTACAGAAAAATGCCTAGAACGCTTCAGAACGACATGGCATGAAACAGTTAAATTGGGCATGTCAAAGTTCTAAAGATCCCTGAAGGTCTAACACAAACTCTAAAATTGCTATTAACTATTTGGAGCATTTTAATTTATATGTACGTTTTTGCAAAAACAACACGGCTAGGAGAGTTCATTAATTTTCTTCAGAATTTCATAAAGTTATTAGATTAATAAGACTGTACAGAGCAAGCAGCTCCCAAAAGCCAAGTGCTACATCAAGAGTTCTGAACACAACAGCACACACTACACTAGGTAGAGCTAGTTGTAGCAAAAGAGGGGGTTGTCATTTTTCTATAAGAACAAATCTAAGTTGGAGCTGGGGATGTGGCTCAAGCAGTAGCGCGCTCACCTGGCATTCGAGGGGCGCTGGGTTTGATCCTCAGCACCACATAAAATAAAGATGTTGTGTCCACCGAAAACTGAAAAATCAATATTAAAAAATTCTCTCTCTCTTAAAAAAAAAAAGAACAAATCTAAGTATAGGACTGTACCAAAGCAGGCAAAGAAATATGAAACTAATCAGTTCATGGGAAAGTTGAAAGTAAAATATGCCTTATTTAGAACCAGGGACAATGAAATCCAGAAAGCTAATATTAAAAAAAGTCAACCTACAGGTAAATGGAGGAAGCTAGTCAATAAAAAAAGAATGACACTGAACAAGAATGTTCAAGAGGCACTTAAAAGAAACAGTGTGGCCAGCACTAATAGCTGCCTTAGTTCTCAGGGCTTTCTCACTCAAGCAAGTTTGCTATAAATCTTTCTGTTCTCTTGAAGTAATTTGAGTCTCTTCCTCACAAATATAAACACTTCTAAGTATTCCCTCTATAGAGTATAACTAATATGCTGACTACCCAGCTTACCCTAAAATGGATATAAGCCTTCCTTTTCCTGCGAGAAAGAAACCATTCCGTATGGTTTATATGGGGCTGGTAACACGCACCCCCATCCTCCTCAAAATACACACATTCACACTCCCTTCCTGTCAACTGGCTCTTAGACATTCCCACCCTCTCTCACTAGCCCATGAGTTCTTTTAATCTTCTACTCTCCTACACAGGCTCTCACACTCTCTCCTACACACTAACCTACACAGATTTATGCCCAAGCAATCCAAATACTCATCCCACTGGCCTCAATGCTTTGTTCAAGGCTGTGTACCAGGTCCCCAGGAAGCTAGAAAAAGTCCTCCCCATGACTTGCCCATACTAACATTACTGGCCAAACTGCCAGCCCTACAGAGCAACACAAAAACAGGTAGAGTCCTAAAGACCCCGAGAACTTGTAGGCATACATACCACTCTTGGTATTCAGGACCAAATCCTTTTCCCTCGAACTTCGGAGCTGAAATCCTGAAGGAGTCCCGATACATCCTTTCAGGGCTCTAAGTCAGAGATTTACAGCATCCCCAGGAACTCATCAAACCTCTACTTGTTTCTACCAGCAGAATGGTAAAAGGACTAAAAACTTTGTAGTAAGTGTCCTTCCTAATCACTTTTTGTAAACATAAAGTGAACAGCTAATTAAGAATTCAACATTAAAAACTGAAATTGTTTCTTCCATCCTACTCAAAGATTCCCTGAGTAGCACAAAAAGGAACAGACCAGTTCACTGTTCCAAGTTTTAAAATCTAACAATACATTTTCCTAGTAAAGATGGAATTTTCTGATGAGGTGAACACATATACACAAAATTCAATAGCACTCTGGCAATTAAATGTATCTGTGTCAGAATCCATTAGATATTACAAAAGTAGAAATTGAATTAGTCTTATTTACAGCCTCTGGCATATGGCAGGTGTGCTACAATTTCTTAAACAAATGAATAAATGTACTATACCTATTCAGACACTTATTCTATCATCATTGCTACTTTTCACTTAGTTACCATTATCTGTAAAGCACTCTACTGGGCACAGAGAAAATGCAAAGATCAGATAGGAACTCAGTTCTCAAAGAACATCCAAGCATTTTTGTGGCCAAAGACCCTTTATGAATTTTGGTGAAAATATGGGCACTCTATTCAGCAAAATACCTAAGCAGATACGATAAGATTCTGCATAAATTTCTAGGGATTCCCACAGTAAGAATTCCAGACTTAGTAAGATAAATAACACAATGATATAAATGCATTCACAAAACACTGTGGTTTTTTATTTGTTCGTTTTTATACACTAAGAAGAAACTTCTGAAAGATGAAACAATACTTTCAGAAATTAATTATATAAATTGGGAGCCTTTGTATAAGAAATATTAACATGCTGTGTAGCATGAAAATATAAACAACTATATACAAATGCAAAGGTTTTCTTTCAACACATAAAGCATAAATGAGATTAGAAACTTTTTATTATGAGAAAAAAATAACAAATATTGGCAGAATCCAGTCATGAGAAAGACACTGACTGCCCTTAGGTTTTACAGTTTTTGAAGTCTAACATTTAACTATCTTTATTGATTTAAGTGTTACATAATAATTAGGACTAGTGATCATTAAACTTTTAAATAGCATCAATAATAACTAAAATATATGGATGAATGGAGTAAGAACATACAGCAATGTAATCTACATTTTGAAATTCTGAGATGAAATTTCTCTTGGGTTACAGGTTTCAATCAGATGACTAGCATACTCCTCAGCTTAAGAGGACATAATCTCACAAGACTAACTTTGCCACCCAAATTTATCAAGCACCAAAATATACCATTCTACAATAAACAAGTTTTCTCCAACTATAATTTTAGAAAAACTTTACAATTTCAAGTGAATAGAAATCCTAAAAAGCTTAAGCTATTGAATTTTGCTTACTACCTCTCTAAAAACAACCAATTAAAAAGAAGTCAATTACTATTAAGAAAAATTTTCAGACTTGTGGACAAAACACAAAGCAAGCCTATAAACCTGCATCAGTAATATCTTTTTTTTCCTTTTTCTTAAGTGCTTTTCCAACTGAGTTATACTCTCACACAGAAATATTTTCCAAAGCAAGTGAAAAAAACAGAAAGCACCAGAATGAAGTTGATGTCCCAAAAAGATCAATCGACAAATGTCAAAGTTAGAAGCAACCTCAGAAATTACCCAAACCATTCCTCTCTTTTATGTATGAAAGTCAAAGCACAGCAAAAGCATGCTCAATAAATTAAGAAAAGATTCCAAATTTATGGAACAGACACAGGCCAAACATAACCAATATAAGTACCACAATAATGTATTTTAAAACATGAAAATTAAATTTAACAAATCTAAGTACTTACATTAAGAAGTAATTCATCTTTTGTTTTAAGAGGAAAATTCTTATTTTCTTTCTCAACTTGTAAATCATCATCTCCATCTGACAACACTGGAGGAAGTGATATATGAGAGGAAGAGGAAGATGAGGAAGAAGACGATGAGGAAGAAGAGGAGCTTGAACTATCTGAATCTGTTTCACTGTTGGAGGAAAAAAGTTGAAAACTTGGTCAGTATTATTATAATGCTATTAAAATAAGATCATTCATCTACTTTACCCTGCTTACTACTCCAAGTCTAATTCAAAAGCTAGCATTTCAAAGCTTATTATAATATTGAGAAAGTAGTCTTTATTCTACCAATAACATTTTCAAAATCTCTGCTATAATCCAGACCCTTACTGCCATAGTTTCACATGTTACATGTCTGTCTAAGTATAGTTAAGTAAGTGACAATCACTGCCTAAAGGATGCTCTAGGCAGGGCACCTTTCTTGGTCACCAATGAAAGAGTTTCTTCTGCCTTTAGACTACTGGGGAACCTTGTCTTCTCTAGTAGCTGAACAGCCTCTCCCCACAATAATCACCCCTTCATCCCACTGCTGTTATTTTCAGAATTTTATGACCCTCCATCCTAATCAGTTCATGCTCTTGCTTTTAAAGAATTGTTCGAGTACACATTAGATAAGAGGGAATTATTAATTTTATATAAACAGTATTTATGTATTAGTATTTTATAACAGTATTGTGTTTGAGAATGTTTCCCTTCAAGAACATATGCTGAAATATTTAAAATCTCATGATGTCTAATAACTTTAAAATGGTTCAGCAACATATTAAACAGTTAAAAAATGTTAAAACTGTTAAATCAAGGTGATGGCTATACTGGTTTGTACTAGTGTGTGTGTGTGTGTTTGTGTATACACGCATGCACACATGTGCATATTGGGGATTAAACCCATGGGCACTGAATTGCATCCCCATCCCTTATTTTGAGACAGGGTGTTAAGTGGCCCATACTGGCCTTGAACTTGTGATCAGGACTCCTGTCTCAGTCTTCCAAATAGCTGGGATTATAAGCATGCATCATTGTGCCCAGCTTCTTCCACTTTTCAATAGAAAATATTCAATCATATAGAAAAGTTTTAAAAGTTTTTCTATAAATTTATACTACATCCAAGATAAAAATCAATGACATTCATCACAGGACAGTCCTAAAATTCATTTGGAAGAATAAAAGACAGAGAATAGCCAAAATCAATTCTAAGCCAAAATCAATTCTAAGCCAAAAAAGCAATACTAGAGACATCATAATACCTGACTTCAAATTACAATGCAGAGCTATGGTAACAAATGCATGATACTGGCATAAAAAGACACATAGACCAATGGTACAGAATAGAAGACACACAGACCATTGGTAAAGAATAAAAGACACAGAAATAAACCCACATATCTATAGCCCAAAACATACACTGGGAGAAAAGACAGTCTTTTTTCCAAATGATGCTGGGAAAACTGATTATCCATATGTTTAAAAAAAAAGAAAGAGAGAAAAAAGAAACTATATCCTTATCTCTCACCCTGCACAAAAATCAACTCAAAATGGATCAGACCTAGGAATTAGACCAGAAACTAAGCAACTATTTTCTCAATAGGACCCCTAAAGCTCAGGAAATAATTCCAAGGATTAATAAGTGGATGGCATCAAATTTAAAAGCTTCTGCACACCAAGGGACACAATTAGGAATATGATGAGAGAACCTACAGAATTGGAGAAAATCTTTGTACTCTTCTGACAGAGGATTAATATCTAGAATACATAAAAGAGCTCAAAAAACTTCACACCAAAAAAGCAAATAACCCAATTAATAAATGACAGACTCAAATTAAAAACAGACAGTTCTCAAAAGAAATACAAATGGCCAACAAATACATGAAAAACGTTCAACATTGTTAGTCATTAGGGAAATGCAAATCAAAATGAGATTTTATGTTATGCTAGTCAGAATGACAGTCACCAAGTACACAAATAATAATAAATGCTGGAGAAGATGTGGAGAAAAAAGGAACACTTTCACACTGTTGGTGTGATACTGTAAAATAGTACAAACATCAGTATGGAGGTTCCTCAAAAGACTAGACATGGAACCACCATATGACCCAGTTGTAACATTTCTCATTATTTATCCTTAAGAATTAAAGTCATCATACTAGCATGATACATGCATACCCATGTTTATAGCAGCATAATTTACAACAACCAATCTATGGAACCAGCCTAGGTGTCCATCAACGATGAATAGATCAAGAAAATGTTGTATATATACACAATGGAGTTTTATTCAGCCATAATGAAAAATGAAATTATGTCACTTACAGGAAAATGGATAGAACTAAAGACCATTATGATAAGCGAAATAAATCAAAACTCAGAAGGTTGTTTTCTCTCATATGTGGAAGCTAGAGAGGAAAAAAAGGGGGGAGGGCTCTCATGAAAAGGAAAGGGAAATCAGTAGAGGAAAGGGACCAAGAGGTGGGAAATGGGGTGGGATGGGCAAAGTGCTTGGGAGTGATATTGGACAAATTATAGTGTATTATGTGCATGTACAAATATAAAAAACAAATTCTATCAGTATGTACAACTATAACGTGCCAAAAAAAATGTAGGAAAAAAAAGTTTTCCTGTAAATTTATACTGTATCCAATATGAAAGTCATGCTCCTTAGCATGAGATCTTAAGAGTCTTAGCAATCAGGTTCCTGGTAAACTCCACAATCCCATCTCCCACCACTTCTCACATGGATCCCATATCTAGCATACAAACTCATATAACTTTCCATAGCCCCTAACATTTTCACAACACACCACTGCTTGCGCTATTTTCCTTGCCTGCAATGCCCTCAACCCAGAAAAATTCTCTTTATAGTTTCAACTCAAATATTATCTCCTATGAACCCCCCCCCCCACTCACCAAATTTACTTCTTTCCCTAATTCCCACATCAATTCTCAAATTGCTACTATACTCTATTAGTACTCTAACATAATTCTTCGAAAACCATGCTGGGTTACCAAAAACCTGAAACTAAATACCACATATATGTATCAAAACGTTGTCTAACTACTAGTACAGGGCAATGGTTGTACCACTTTTCATTTTTTCAAATATTTGGTACCCCCTTCCATCATCCGCATATGGTCAGTACTGTCCCAACATTGTTCGGTTTATTGGAATGACATACCCCAATGCCTGCCTTCAAAACTTGTCCCCAGATCATCTAGCACTTACTTCACTTTCCTAGTGACATGGACTCTGAAATCCCATAAGATGATTATAATCTTAGAACTGCCAAAATATCCTGCCTTGTTTATAAATGGCTTACTTGCCCCTCTCCTCTATACATTCCTTCTTGCTGTATTTAAATTCTTCATCCTTCTCCATACCCTCTACTCTTAGTTGATATTACCCTGAAAACTCCTTTTCTCCTCACTGTGTATCCTCAGTACCTGCCCCCACCCCCCAATTATTCAAATATTTGTAGGTAATGTTCAATGAGGTTTTATAACAAGCCATATACTGGAGCCTTCTCTCACAAGACACAGGGAGGGGTTGTTTTATAAAACGTATTTAGAGCATAAGAAACTAAATAACTGTTTAGCTAATTTCATGAACTTGTACTCCCTACAAGGATTCTAAAATTAACATGATTTTCAAGAACTTCAGAACACACAAAATAATGCTTATGATCCTCATTTCATCTGATAAAAAAAAAAACAACCCCAGGACTACACTCTAGACTTAACACACACACTAATAATAATAATAATAATAATACCTATAACTCAGATCTGACCCAAAAAGTTACAGCCACAAGGGTATATGCCAAACTGAATAGTTAAAAGAAAAAAAAAAAAAAAAGACTTCGAATTGAAAATTACACTCCCCATACATAAAACCACTTTGGCTATCAAATTTAGAAAAGTAGCGTGCAAGGCAAGAGCTAAGCAAAGGGCAGTGCAAACTCGAGGTCAACACGTGCGCCCCGAGTACCAGCTCCTCACCGCCCTCTAAGCCCACCCCGGCACCTTCTGGGCTCATAGGTGCCGCTCCCAGCGCGGGTCACACAAGCCCCATCCCCGCAGCTCCGGGGCTCCTAGGCACTCCACCTGTCAGAGTCCGAGTCTGAGTCCGAGTCCGAGGTCTCCGAGGAGTGCGGGGTCTGCGCCAGCCGGGTGGCGGCCGGGCCGGTGATGCAGGCCCCGCAGCGCGGCAGTTCCGGCGCAGGCTGGGGCGCAGGGCTCCCCCCCGCCTCGGCGCTCGGGGAAGGCGGTAGTGTTTGCTCCCCTGCAGGCTGAGCCTCCACGGCCTGCTCACGGTCTGGGCAACCCTCTTCCGACTGCAGCGGCGGCTGCGACCCCGGCGCGGGAACTGAGTCCGGAGACCGCACCTCTGCACCATGGTCAACCCCAGAGCCAGGGCCACTGAATTTCAGGGTTTCCAGCTGAGCGGCGGCAGCCTCCACCACCTCCATTGCGCCGCGCCAGACACCGAGAAGGCCTCACGTTCCGGACCTGCAGACAATCTCTCGTCTCCCGCCAAACAAAGTAAAACTCCCTCTGCAAGGGACACAACCGCGCCAGACGCAAAGGTCCCGCGTTCCACAGGTAACTACACGCGGAGAAACCTAAAGACACGCCCCCGGCGTTATTCAGCGGCACTTCCGGGAGAGCATGTGACGTACGTGACGCGACGGCGCGACGCCGTTCACTGGAGGCGGGCCTACCAGGGCCCTTGGGAAGTAGGCCACAGTGCATAGATTTCTTTGCTGCTTGTGAACTTTCTCACACATGAAAGGCCGGAAAGCAGGGCTTTCTGTACCTGAGTCTCGGCCACTTTTACTCGGAGCGCCGATTTGAAACCTGATTAGGGAACAGGAGAGGTGCCCGAGGAGTGCTAGGTTGTGTACAGCAGAGTCTTAAGCCAGTTGTTTTTGTATTTGTCCCCTCCACTCCCACCCCAACTCCGGGAACTAGGCATTGAACCCAGGCACACTAAGCCACATCCTCAGCCTTTTTTGAGATGGGATTTCAACAAATTTTTAGGGCCTCGCTAAATTGCTGAGGCTGGCCTCGAACTTTGGACCCTCCTGCCTCAGCCTCCCCAGTCGCTTTGATTACAGGTGGTTGTCATCATGTCCGATTTAAACCAGGACATCTTGAAAAGACCTTTCTGGTAATTTAATTGAAGTTAGATTTCTACAGGTAGAAAGCACATTTATCAAACATCTCAAAAAAAAAAGCTGGGCGCAGTGATGCATGCTTGTAATGGCAGGGACTGAGGCCAGAGGATCACAATTTCAAATTCAGCCTCAGCAATTTAGCAAGACCCTGTCTCAAAAAAAAAAAAAAAAAAAGGACTGGGGATGTGGGTTAGCGTTGAAGTGTCCCTGGATTCAACTCCCAGTGCTGGAAACAAACAAAACACCAAACCTACAATTATTCCGTTTCTCTTTTCCCCAAAGTACTCCCAAAATAGCAGTAACAGCGAGATTTTGCTGCTTGTTGATGTTATGTGGATGTCCGTATTGTAGTTGACTCTGCTTCTCAGAAAGGATGGGATGACACCAACCTGGGAAACCTTTTGGTTCCTGCGTTTCCTGAGAAACCTTTAGCTTGGATTGTAAAGAGGGTAAGAAAAAGTTCTTATCACAGAGTAAGAAAGACTTCTCTGTTTTCCTATTAGATCTTCATTGTGATGTATCAGTTACTCGAGTATTAATCATTAGTACAATTTGCTAACCATGCATATATTATCATGGACTGTGCTAAAGATTTTATAAATTATTCATTGAGAATTTATTATAGACCATCCATAGTAGTAGAATCTTCACACAAATTTAAGACAAATATAATCAATCACTCTTCATCATCCAAGGGGAATTGGTCCCCAGGGCCCTGCAAATATCAAATTTTAAGGATTTTGATGTAATAGTTAAAATGATGTAATAATTTATAATCTATACACATCTTCCTGTCTGTATGCTTTAAATATCTTTGGGATTATTTAGATATTTACAATATCAAAAACAGTATAAACAGTATGTAAATTATTATAGTATGTTTTAGGAAATGAAAAGAAAACATTCAGTGTTGACAAAATTTTAAGAACTATTTTCAAACATTTGTTGGTTGAATTTATGGATGTGGAACCTACTGATAGGGTCAACCAAAGAAGGCAGATAATCATAATTTTAAGGAATTTACAATCTAGTAGAAGTAAAAAAAGGTAAATGTACAGGAGATAACTAGAAAGAAATTTAATAGAAGATGCAAGTGTTGCAGCAAAGGGAACTTAGGTAGGGCTGGTGAGCTGTATCATGGAAATCCTCCCAAGTGAAACAGGAATTTAAATTTGAAATAGTACGTAGTATTGTAGTGATTTAGTAGAGCTCAGAGTTTCCAGACAAATATAACTTCAAATATCACTTTTACCATTGTGTTCAACTTTCAGTTTTACTATTGTTGTGTTGGTGTAACTCACCTTGAGTGGTAAGTTATATACCTAAACATCAATTTCCTTATCTGTAAAATGGAAAAGAAAAATACTATCTCATTTAGTTCTTGGCATATTAAATAAGTTTGTATAGAGGAGAATGGCATGTTGTGTATATTTAGTGTGTAAAATTGAACAATGCATACATAAACCTATGAATCAAATAACACTTCATTGACAATGACAAAATGTCTGTTGCATTTTTCCAGGAATTAATTGATACAAGTCTGAATCAAGGGATGAGCCCATGAAATAGAGGAAAGGTAATTCTAAACATCTGGACTGAATCAGCACACTCTAAAATTCCTGACCAATGGAACTAGAAAGTTGATATTACCAATAAAAATGAAGTAGTTGGAAAGAGATAATAAGCACATGAATTTGAGTGAAAACTGGTCAGTCATTTGTGCCATTGGACATTGAAGAACAGATTGGAATTCAATAGAAGGGTTAAGACCAGAAACAAATTCAAGAATAATTCAAGCACTATGAACTGTGAATACAGGCAGGTAAATAAATCATAGTCCTTGCCCTTAAGAAACTTAGCTAGTTTCTTAGTTTTATAAAAAACAAGTTGGAAAACAAGTAATATGTACTATATTAGAGGAATATAGAGGAATGTACATATGGGAAAAATTAAAAAGAAGGTACTGGGAAAGCTAGGGAAGGTATTGAATACTACTAGAGATATGTCATGACTGTAAGATTAATGACAGTCATAAAGCCACTTAAGCATCTAACAGGCCCATAGTACACATCACACAGCAGAATGATTACAAACTGGCCCCAGGGACTTCCAGGAGACAAAGGTACCCCCATACAGATGAAACTTCCATGAACCTTAAGAAAATGTTTATCCTTAAGCGAATAGCTTAGAGTTTAAGCTATTTATGAAAGAAATACCTTATAACTGATATTGTCCAAAATATAGGAATAAGAGGAGAAAAGGAGCACCAAAACCTGAGAGTGGTCTTGGTGAAGGACATATGTAAGTTGGTCATCTGACACCCTTATTGTTATCTGGCCCATGCCACTGGTCTGCTCCCGCTTTCCACCTTGGAAGACCATAATAAACTGTTTGAGAATCACAGCCACTAAGACTCAACTTTGTCTCAAATGGAACCAAAGGGAAGAAGGGACCACTGAGAAAGTAAACTAGGATCACCCTGTCCTCTACCCCCTGCCTCTGCAACAGAAGGCTTTACAATGAATGTGGTATTTGTGCTGGGACTTTAAAGAGAACAATTAATTTGTTAATCAGAGAAAGTAGGAAAACTTCATACAGGAAACTAAATAAGATATTTAATTTCTTGCTTCAAACCCTGAATATTTGATAACACTTGAAATAAAATCCAGACTCCCAGCTTTGATTTTCAAAACTCTATCTGAGGTGGAGGCTATTTCCGCTTCTATATTTTACCATCTCGCCCTCCTTTATTGCCACAAATTTACTGGTCTTGATCACCCTTCATCTCACCAAGTTTATTCTTTGCATGTGGCATTTTCACTTAGTTTTTCCTCTCCCCATAATACCGTGGCTTATTTACTCTTATCTCAATTTTATTTTATCTCTACTCAAATATAACACTCTAAAGAGAGTTTTCCAGAATATTCAATCTAAGAGTCCTTCAATACCATTCACCCTCTAAATTATTGCTCATCGTTTCCTTTAAATAGTACTTATCTTCAAGTTGTTGTATTTGTTTACATCTTCCTTGTCTCTGTTTTCCCATAAATTAAAGTCTCATGAACCCAGGAATTTTGTCTAAATTCACAGCTATTTCTTCAGCTCTAGAATCATAGTAAATCCTATAAAGGTTTCTGAATAGAAGAATGAAAGAAAGAAAACAAATAATAGAGCTTTATGGGACAATTGCAGTAAGGAAGATGCTTCACATATAAAGGTACAGAGAATATTAAATTTATCTGTTCAATTTAAATTAATATGATTATATAAGGAATGCTACAGTTGCAGATAAAAATTTTTGTTTATGAAATGGGGATGGTCTCTGGGTTGCAGAATAAGAATAACTGTACCTATGCCTAGCTCCAAAATAGGTCACTCTTTCACAATGGGTATTTTTTCTAAGTGCCTGAATGTTCCAAAATGTCCTGAATTTACCTCCAGCACTTCAGAGCCTGCCTGTCTACTGCATTATTTCTAACAGCTGCTAAACTTAGCCTGAAGTCTTTAGCCTAAGGCTAAATCTAACAAAACTCATTGAAAGACTGAGGAGCTTACAGGATCACTAAAATTAAAAGAGAATTTACAGTGAATTAAATTTTGAGTTAAAAGCCAGTCACATTTCAAAGTGAACATGTAAAATAGTCTTTAAAGTTCAAAAATAAAGTTCATGAGAGCATACATTTGAGTTTACCAATCTCTATGTATTCTAAATATTGAAAATTTTATGAAAAAAGACCCAATAACTTCTTAAAGCCATTTTTTTTTCACTGTTTTGGAGTGCTTTCGCTACTTAGAAATGCTGTGGCAGATAAGCAGCTTTGAATCATATGGAAATATGATGCAGAATCTTAGGCCTTATCCACTAGGCCTTTGACATCAGAAACTGCATTTTAATGAGACTTCCCATGTGATGTGCATGCATGCTAAAGTTTAAGAAACTCAGTGGCTGTGTCAGGGAGAGAACATCCCTAGACTAGCATACTGCTTGAAAATAAAATGAAGCGAACCCTTTTGTAAAAGAGTAGTTAAAGTGCTGAGCCACTGAAACTAAGATGAAGAGACTGAATATCTGTCTATTGATACCGGTAACTTGGATGCCCTATGAGTGAGATACATAAATACATAAATAGTATTTGTGTGTGTGTGTGTGTGTGTGCGCGCGTGCGAGCGCGTGGTGCGTGCATCAGGTACAGTTTTTCTAAGCACTTTGTAAATTTAAAACTTCTTTCCACAAAACTTTAAAGTAGATATAATTATTATCCCCATTTTCCAGTTCAGGAAGTTGAGGCTCAAAGAGGTCAGTTTTGCATTGGTGTGACCAAAACACCTGACAGGAACAACTTAGAGGGGTAAACATTTATTTTGGCTCATGGTTTAAGAGGTTCAGCCCATGGTTGGCTGAACCTAGAGCTCTCTGGGCCCAAGGTGAGGCAGATCATCATGGTAGAAGGTCATGGTAGAGGAAAGCAGCTCAGGACATGGCAACTA